GTAGAGTGGCGCTGAAGGCACATTCTTCAAGAGGGAAAATGTTTGCTAATTTAATGAAAAAGGGTTTTGGAAACCTTGCCTTTGTGTAGCGCTTACAAAGCTGCGACTTCCGACAAGGTGGCCCTGAGCAGATCCTCAGGCCATTCGGGGAAGCACACAGTAAAAGTCGAGGAAGTGCAGATGGCGACATAAGTGCCGCGTGCGGGGGGGGCACAGCCCCTTCATGGCACCACATCGGCTTGCGGCGTCACGTTTGTCAAAAGTGCCGGATATATAGCAAAATTGTCAATAGAGGATATTGCACCTAAGACTGGGGGCATTTCCTCTCCATTTTACCACTTTTGTGTCCCAGGGCAGATTAAAATGTATGACAAGAGCAAGTTCACAAAGGGAAAGTCAAGTTTGTCAAGCAATCTTTTCAGGATCTTAGGGGAGCCGCTGTAAACCCTTCAGATATGCAGAAGCAGCTGACCGGAGTTGTGACAATATGGCAAAATGATCTGCTTGTAAATTCCGGATCTCTGCATAATTAGGTCGGTAAAAGGCATTGGGGTCCCGGAGAAAAGCTCAGGTGATCAGGTCAACCAATCCGGCCAAATTGCACAAACCATAAGCCTGACTCAATTGACACCAGCAAGCTATTGAAATGAAATAACCAAATTGGCCAAAACCAGAATCACCAGGGTATTTCCCCTATTACTCCTTAAACACCCATAAAACTTCATTCTGCGCCGGAGTGGTCACCAGTCCATCTTACAAATTCTTAGAACATTCTCAACCACAAGCCCCCAACGACAGATAGGCCTGGGAGCAGCTTGTGAAAGACTGGGATCAAGCTGTGTTTGACACACATGCACACACAAAAACACACCCCAGCTTTAGCTATGGGCGACATTTTATTATTACCCCAGGCCGGGAAAACAAGCCTTTGAGGGTGGGGGGACAAGGGGGTGGGATTTGCTCAATTGCCCCGGCAAAACGTGTAATTCCTTAAGTCCCCTTTGTGCCGAGTGTTTAAATAGTGAGAGTTTGGGGAAGAAGAAGCGGAGGAAGAGGATGGAAAGGGGGAACAGGAAAAAGAAAAGAAGAGTATGTGAGACGAGGGTGGGGGAGGTTAGAAACTTTTCTGCAACAGTGCAATGTGTAGATGTGCTGCTAATCCGGGTTTTATTGGCTGTCCCACTCTGGCCTGGCCGGCCGGGGGGGGGCGGGTTGAGGGGGGGGGGGGGGGGGGGGGGGGGGGGGGGGGGGCGGGAGGTGCAGCGCCACTGAACACATGTCCTCCATTGTGACTGGCCTGATCAGAAAGGCCTGAAAAAGAGCCAGACCTGGTTACAGCCCTCCTTGGGTCGCCGTAGAAACGCGCGACAGGGGTTCTGTATGTCTTCCCCCTCCTGTGCACACACTCACAAACAATTGTATACACACACAGCAACACCATTCATATTCCATTCAACCGTTCAGGCCTCACTTTCCCCATCCAGGTCCTCACTACCGTGTCGCCCATACATTGTCTCCCCTGTCCTCAGAGATACATATCATCCTCTTGCAGTCATTACGGATGCGCTGAGCTACAGGACAGCTCCAAGCTGATGTTCAGAGAAAAAAAAAAATCACTTTTAAGTAGCAGACTAAAAGCATCGCACTAGATCATGAAACCTATAGAACCAGTGGAGGAACCTAGATTTTTATCTCAGTAACCCCCCCCGTCCCCCCCCACAACCCTAGGGCTCCGGAAACCGACTGAGACTTCTGGCAACATTCTAGAGTGTTCCAGACATTCTAGAGCTTCCTTATACAATATTATTTGGTAAGGCGATGTGGAATCATAACAATTTAAAACCCAGAATAAATTAGAAAGATATGACTCTGAAACAGGCAAAGAATTACAATAGAGTATAAAGAGGCCACATGCATTTTTATCCACAGAAGATGGATATTGTGGCTGTTAGGTGTCTAAGATTTCTACTCGGGGTCAGTGATGATTACTCTGCTACAACCAGTGGTTTAATCATGCTTTTCTTTCAGAAGCAGGGCTGTTTTTAACAGTTGAAGAGGCCTTTGCCCAGGATACTGGAATATTACGAAATGGGAAATATCGCAGTGTATGATACAAAGGTTTGGTAAAAAAAAAAAACAGCCAAAAATGTAAATTGCACATCACTCAATATCACAAGTCGTCGCAGACAGTCATGCTTCAGGTGCAGATTTGTGATACAGATTTTGGTCGTGAGGAAGTCGATCTGATAGTTTGTCACAACCTGAAGAATGATTTCGCTGTTGTTCAGATGCCAGCCACCAATCATTCCTAGACTCCACCAATAAATCATGTCCTGTGATACGGTTTCACCATACGTTCCTGGAACCTGGAGCAATCTGTCACTCCTCAAGAATGCACGTCCAATCAAACCGCTGATCTCGGCACATTCTGACACTGCGCTGTTGCACACAACAATATCCTTGATTGGAAACAGATTTGTCTAACCATGGACATCTCAGAGACAACCTACTACTGGACTAGTGATAACAGAGTTTGTGGATCCTGGTGTTTATCTTTTATAAAGATATTCTGATTTAACTACCACATACAAAGGTGTGGTAGCCACTGTCTTTCTCAGCATTCATCATTTTGGTCACAAATGTAGTGTCTTAGCTGCTTTGCTGATTTGTTTATGGAACGCCCCCACTTCCCACCCCCCAACCCATCACGCAGAAATATCAGTCACAGCCAGCCCTCCTTTTGATCAGGGAAACAAAGCCAGAGAAGAAAGAGGGAAATTCTGTAGATGACCTTTGGACTTGGGTCGTACTGGCCTCCTTGTGCATGAGCGACACGCTGACCAACTGAGACCAATCAAAAGGGCAGCTAGCTTCCCATCTGATACAGGCACACCCTAGTCAGAGACGCAGCCTCGACCAATAACCACATTCTGTGATTTAATGATGATCACGGTGCCATTTTATAGACGCGTTCCTCGGGGTCAGTGGAAAAAAAGGACACACCTCAATTTCAGAAAGCTATTAAAAGGCAAAATAATGAGAATCATTATGGAATAACTTATATTATTATTATTAATATTATTATTATTATTATACATCTGGTCCATATTTTATAAGTGTTTTGCTACAGTAGAAGTAAATAAACCAAAAGGAGATGTAATGTGATTGGATATCAGGGTTTGGACAGACAGACGGACAGACAGACAGACAGACAGACAGACAGACAGACAGATAGATAGATAGATAGATAGATAGATAGATAGATAGATAGATAGATAGATAGATAGATCGATAGATAGATAGTTCAATTTTTAATTATAGTTAACTTACAAGATGAAATCAAATCATGCTGTGTTACAGACAAAGCGTGATGCTATTCAGCTACTCAGTCATTTTGATTATTGTCATCGTACTTATTCCTGAGACCAATGTGCTTCTGTATGCAGTGTCTGCATAAGTTTAGCAGAGCCGCCTTGCATTCCTCCGCTGCCTACCTTTACACAAAGTGAAAAAAGGAAACTAATGGTGAAAGTTTTTTGGAAAGAGGATGAATGGAATTCCAGTCAGAGCAAAGTCTGAGAATTACTGTGCTTAAAATAATCATTAGTAAACCATTAGGAGGACAAAACATAGCTAAGATAATCCATAAAAACAACTTTAATCAGTCTTGGTAAAAAGAGTTCTACATATAGATTTCAGTCTTAATATAATCATATAATATTGCATAATAATTTTACAAATTCTTACTAAGATAATTTTAGTAGATATATCACTGCATAAAAGACTACAGACAGCAACTGAAATCAAACATCATTTCTGGCCAGGAGGAGTATAGCAAGCCGTCCATTGGATCGCCGCTCTTTGCTGCCCCTCTTTTGTCATTGTATTGCCTGTCATCCGGGGGGGGGGCTTCTCCGGCAGTACCTTCTGGCAATCTGCACTTTTGAGAATCCGCAAAACTTTTCATCAATCTGGTCACAAAGTTAGCAGCCCAACGACGGTAACTGCCGGGGCGAAGCTTGGCATATAAGACCATAAAATGTGTCAGACAGGGTGCCGAATAAGTTTATTAATAAGCATAAGTTAATCATCAATACAGATTTTGAGTTATATAAACTGTGGCTCATGCCCAAATGAATTCTTGTTGTCTGTTCTCACCTGTCTTTGTCCTTCATCTGGAACTTTATGGAACTGTGTGTAGTTAATTTGGAAATAGATTTCAGAAATTCTTTGCGATAAAAACTTGACATGATACATGAATATCATGAACTTCCTTCTCCCCCACATCCGTTCTCACTCTGTTCTTTATTCAAAGCGAGTAAAATCTGTTTAAAGCGATTTAGATTTCCACCCGCCATACCTGATCTTTCTGATGGCTGTAATAATTGCCTGTGTGTCTTGATTTGGCTGGTACACTTTGGGTTGTGTATGTATGAGCAACATGGTGAGTGAGGGGGGGGGGGGGGTTATACCCCATGTATGCCCAGATCAATTAGTCAGGGCGCAACCCCCAAAATGGAGTCAGTAAATTTGCTACCGTGCCCATCCACACCCCCTCCAGAGACACAGGCCTGACTCACTCCAACTCCAAACCATACCACTTGGAATTGTGTCTGCGTGGTTATATTAAAGATAAAAGAAGCCTACCTTTCTCTCTCCCCCCGCCCTGTCGCTCACTCTCTCTCTCTTTCCCTCCCTCCCTCCTGCTCTCTCTCTCTCTCTTTCTTTTCCCCATTACCAGGGGGTGGTATGTGATTGACAGATGGGAACGAATAATTTTTTTTTCATAACCTTAGGCCATGCTTTGTGATTGGCTCACCAGCTGACATCTCCAAACCTTGCTCCTCTCAATTTTTTTTTTCTCTAATATCGGCCTTGTGGATGAGCCATCCCGAGGGGGAAAAGTGGAGAGAGAGAGAGAGAGAGAGAGAAAGAGAGAGAGAGAGAGAAAAAGATCTACCTTAGGGAAGAGGCGCAGAGAGAGGGAGGGTGCGGGAGGACGGGTAGGAGCGTGCGCCCGTGTGTGTGTGAGAGAGTGTGACTTGTGTGTAAGAGACACTCGTTCTCCTGGCTGCAAGGAGACACACACACTTCTACTTTCCTGTCCCGCCTCACTCAAGGAGGAAGAGAGGAGAACGATTTTTGAAAAGACAAGAAATTTTATTTGCCTCTCCCCTCCCTGTTCAAATCAACTTTTGCCCATTTTTTTTTTAATTTGATTTTTGTTTTTTTTTTTTTTGTTTTTTTTTAGGGGATTTGCTTTGCTCCACACTGGAATTTTATGTTGCTTGACTAATATAGAGATGTATCATTACAAGGCATGCATTATGGATTTGTACCTGTTTGTGTTTATGACGTGCATATGGTTGCCCAGTTCAAGGGTGCTTGGAGGCTATCCCATCTGGTGGTGAGTAGACTGTACAGCTTCCATATTAACCTTCAGATGATTTATAACTGATGCGAGACAAACTATTTGATAAGGTCATGACATTTGGGCTCTTTTACAGCTACTATGGGGAAGAAGTTCACTTGCGCTGTCCAAACAATTTTAACCTCAGCCCCTCTTGTCACAGAAAAGCCCCACGTTGCGTTTCGCTTAACCCACCTCTACCAGCTACCTTTACCAAGCTATCGCTCACTTCATGATGCAAGCCCTTGGTGAAGTAATCTTCATCATTTGTGTTTGGATCCTGAAGAACAGTGGGGGTACGTTAGCCTAGAAATTGCCTGATGTGGGGCATTGTCTGTGGCCATACTTCATTGACCACTGTCCCCAAGTTCTGTTGGGGGGGTGCTATTAAATGAGGAATTATAAAGATTATCCCTTTATATCTCCAAAACAGTTTTACTTACAATGAGTACCGACATACCTGAAATATATCTTAAGAAATAACGTTAAAAATTGGGGTGCTCAGTTCTCCCTGCCGTTGGGGTCCTTGGCTCTTCTGTAGAGACTCTTTGATAAGTCTCCTTCATCACAGAACACCACTTGAGTTTAAATCAGGGGCTTGTTTTTAAGGGCGCTGAGATGTTGTACACTTCCCTCATTTTAAAATCGCTTTCCAGAGCGGCTGTTGTCTGAGCCTCCATATTTTCATGCCGTAGAAACCTATAATCTGACTGTGTCAGTCTCTTTGTTAACTTGATTTTAGGGGACATTATAACACTGTACTTTGTTCTTTCATGGAAGATGCACCGGGAAAGTAACTGTTACATTAAGACAAGATGTTAAAATTGTTCACTCACTCGCACTACAATATACCTGGGCCGAACATCTTTCTGGAGCTATTTTGGAGGAAGTTAAATTTTTTTGCACTTTTTGTATCTCGTGTTTCAAAATCAGCTCAGTTGAGGGTTTTCCAGCCATGTACATAGATATTCCCTGAGTTTGAAGAGGCAGCTGAGGATTCAGATGAGAATTTTTAACTTACTGAAAATCCGTTACTCTCCTAACGAAGATTTGAATTGTTACATCCGATTGGCAGTTTACTGAAAAACTGCACTAAGTCAACAGTGATAATGACATTCGCAGAGAGATGAAAAACTTACCCGTACGCAGAGCTCGAAGGAATTAATGTGAAATTTGTCAGGGCATTATGCTTGAAAGTAAGTGAAAAGGGAATGCGTTAAGTCAGAGCCCAACACGTGTGTTAATTACTGGTGACAAAAGCACTATTCACCTAACAGTGACAACAATGCTGGTTGGTTGCGGTGCGGCGTCTCCTTCAGAATCACGGCTCTGGTTTCATTTCCAGCATGGAAGCTGCCAAGCAGCACTGGCCAGAGGGCAGAGACGGTCATAGTCAGGCGCCTTGAGACCCGCATTGGTGCTCAGCGCCACCACACATGGCAGACAAAGAGTCAGAATTTCCTGCTGCGGTGCTAGTAAGGGATCTTGCATAACACAGGTATAAGTGTCACCCGGCTACAATACGAAGCACCTTTGATTTAGGCAACAAATTTGGAGTGGTGGGGGGGGGGGGGCACAGAATGAAAAGGGCGAAAGCCAAAACGATGATTCAGATGAACTGCAGGTGCTGGGGAGGGTGATATTGGAGGGCGTCCCTGACACCCCCCTGTAATGTCAATTAAAGCCGTGTAGAACAAAATGAGACACAGATATAGTGGGTTCAGCAATACTAAACACATTTGTTGGGGGGGGGGGGGGGTTACGGCCAGAAGGTGGTGGCAGGTTTCACACAGACTCTTCTCAACTTCTGTCTGGGGGGCAATGAGTTAAGTCATAGATTCTCCAGCCAAGTGTGGAATGGAGAAACAAAAAAAATAGGTTTGACTGGTCTTAGCCTTGAGCCATACAATCACAGGCAAATTTAACATGACATAAACCCCAGACGCGTCAGATAAACGGGCAGGATTGTACTGCAGCGGCAGGACTGGCAAAGGCGTTGGGACCCTCCTCTGCTTGAATTATCATGGTAAGAGACAGTCATCATGCTTAGCCAATGGCAAACTGCTCAGACCAGCGGGACGACATAATATGTGTGAATGGGTCGATTCCATCTGGCGAATAAAGCGGGTTTGTGTTCTGTTGCGTGTGTCTCCGGAAAGTAGTTCCCACAGTTGTTCAGTTCAGTTTCAGGTCTGCTCCACACATGCTAAACTGGAAAAATTAGTAACAGTCACTCGCATCTGAGCAACTTTTGCAAATTATATGACACATTTAGACGGCATTTTTGATGGCATTTCCTACTCATATTAATGTGAAATTAATGTGAAATTATTAGTATTGGAGTAACAATTTTACCGATTCTCACACTGATCATGATAGCAAGTACAGACGCTCCTCTACTTACGAACTTTCAACTTACGAACTTTCACACATACAAAAGAAGAGGACTATAAGTCCGAATTGTGTTCCTTGGGCTCCCGTTTCCTGTCCGCAACATCAATTTTTTTTTCTGCACACAAATTCCACCTAGTACGACTTCTGGCTGCTACTCCCGCCGCGCAGCAGCATAGCGTGCGTACTCCCAGCATCCTAGTTCTTTGTACTTGCGTATACCCTTAAAATGATGTTGCATAATGACTTACGGACATCTCAAGTTATGAATGGCCATTCCGAACTTATCTCATTCGTAAGTAGCGGAGCGTCTGTATAGTGAATACACAGGAACAGTAAGGGAATTCAGGGGCATATGTTGGTATTAATGCTTCCCATCGTTCGTTAGCACATCATACTTGATGAATCAGCACATTGTGCATCATACTCCATGAGTCAGCACAATGCTCCGTTTATCAATATGGTACAACGCATAAATTATACAACTGATCAATAATGACTGAAATCTGTGAGACGGAAAACAGGCAAGATCTGGGCTTTTTCCTCATTTCCACAACACACACACACACACTTAACTATTCCTCAACGGCTTATCAATTAAATTGCGGCAGTAAGGGATCAAGCGCCTGATGTAGGACAGTAGCTTTAATCAGAAGCATCTGTTACCGCATTGCATTATTATTACCTGCTCTAGCAACACATTGCATTTTGCTTATTTGATATTACTTTGTATCTTTAGTCTTGCTGACATTAAAATACCAGCCTTCTCTGAAGGGTCCTATTCCCAAACCAAAGCTGCCAAACCAAACCGCCCTGTTCATATTTGCTAATTAAGACACCTCCAAGTAGTCGAGGGTGAGAGAGAACGGTGGGATGTTCATGTCCCCCCCCCGCCGGCCCCGGTAGCGGGGGCTCTGAGCTGGGCTGGCGTTCCCGGCAGCTTACACAGGGATCCAGGAGCTATCGCTGGGATGGAGGAATGTCATTATCCCATGCCGGGAGTTCCCACCCGAACCCTTTTTCTGTCCGTAGTCTGAATTAGATGGATTTAATGAATCTTGCTGAAGGAAAAAAAAGGGCCAATTCTGTATGAGGGGATCAAGGATGCTGGGACTTCACCTACAGCAGTTTATAAAATCACAGAGCGGAGGAGAAGCAGCAACTGCAGATGACTGATCTGGGGATTAACACTTCCATATTCATATGGCTGAAATTCACTTACCCTGTGGATCTTAAATGCATCATGGAAAAAATTGTACTACGAATACACTTGAGGCAGATGAATTATCTTTAAGTGGTAATTCATGTTAGAAGGTAAAGCTTGTGTCATGGACAATGCCAGGCCTGCATCGAGCAGAACGGCACAAGAATCGCATCAAAACTATCAGCATCTACATAGACAGACATCCAAATATTCAATCATTAGCCCTTAATTGACCTCCAATAGAAGCTTTTACTGCAGCCTTTCACGCATATCTTCTCTGGGTGTTCAAAACACGTACTGAGTGCAAGCACCCAATTTTACAATTAATTTAGAACAACGCTTCATTTATTTAATCTTTTTTTTCCAATGAAAACTGACTATATCCCTGATCAGTTTAGCTCAGTATTATTTATTGCTCTTGGTTTTTCTTCTATCTACAAAAACTGAAAGCTGGCTGTTTCTGGCTGTGCTGTTGAGATCTTACTGTAACAGGAATAAATTAAATTATGTGTTGATCCACCTATAATTAATAAGCACAGGTTTGACACTCACAGCCATAAGATTGCATATATATCAGTCCTCATATAACTTGTATATAAAGAACAGATGACAATATATGCTGAAAATATGTCCTCTAAACCTCTTGATTTGATTTTAAATGCAAAAAGTAGTATTTCTACATGTGGATTGTGCCCATTGTGTCCAGTATCCATTAAAGTCTTATTTTCAATACAAAGTAACATTGATTACAGGCATACATATCAGGAAGGTGTATTGTTAGTCATATCTTGACTGGTTAGTTAGCAAAAAGATACTAGTAATTACTTTGTGTATTTGTTTTTATAATATTCCTGAACTTTGAGTTGGTAACTTTGCAACTAAACTGTACACTAGAAAATATAAAAAGGAAGACAAAAACAGGACACAGACACTGAAGCAGCATACATTTATGAATAATAAATAATACTCAACATAAAATAATTTGCGTCAAATGCTTTCATGTTGATGTATAAACACCAGACAGCTGTGCTACGTTTTCAGTGCCGATTTAAACAATCTTGATTGTGCTGGAGTTACTGGAGATACACAGCATCTCTAACAGTATATGAAGCTTGGTGACATTTAGTGAAGATCGTGTTTTCGCTTCATAGATAGTAATGAACTACCATATGTTGGGGTCCCAGAAAGTGATTTTCTTGGTGGGGGGGGGGGGTTTATCACATGCAAGGCTATTCAGTTATAGATACCGTGTATTTATTCGTTTGTAATTCATATTTTACATGAATTTGCAATATTATGTCAATCGGACACATAAGAACATCTTCTGCTTCGGTTTATGTAATCGCCCATACTTTATTGCTATCATTCTAAAACCCTGAATCCATTACTTAATAACTGAAAT